ATTTGATGGGTTGATTGTTTTGATTGTGTATGCAGACAAGCTGAGGCCGATGCCGAGAGGATTGGAGTGGGTGTTACTGCTGAGGCACAGAGTATTTTCGATGCTTTATCTAAGACGTAATGTGTCGTCCCCTTTGTTATGAGTTTCGATTTATCAATGCCTGAAGATAATGTATTTTTTGTGTATCTGTATGTGGAATACTCTTGGTACAATCGCGTTAAACTAGTCTGATTTGTGCTTGCTTTCATCATTCTAATATCGTTTCATTATGACGTTAATAAAACTATTGACACAAAGAGACTCGTAAGATGGTATCCGAAAGGAAGAGTACTTCTTTTGTTTGAATGTTTAGTGATCATAAGAACAAATGATTGGATTTATCTTACCTGCCGTCATCGACTGTCTGCTTTTGTTGAGTTTTTTTTTTTTTTTTGAATTGATCTGCAGTTGTCTGAAATCTTCAACTCTGATGTAGTATACTTTCTCGTTGTTAGAACTTCAACTCAAGTGATTATTTAATGGCCTTCCTTATCCGAGCTAGTGCTATTCATACGTTTTTTTTTTTTAGGTGTCTTCTCTTTGATAGGGTTTCTTCTTTTGCATCTTGATATCGTTTATTGGTGCACTACGGACTCCATAAACATTCTGTTGGAAGGATTCTTTTATCTGTTTATTTGTGTATATGTTTCAGTTGCATTTCTATCAAATTGTATTTAGTTCAATTGTATTTATTTTTTTTTACCTTAAGGCTGCTTTTTATTTTTTTATTCATCTTTTGCATCCTCTGTTAGTAGAAAATGGAATGTGATGCTTCTTCCTGATGTTTATTATATTCGTACTGTTAACAATATGAGTGGTGACCATTATATTATTCACTTGTTAACGGTTTTCATTTGAAACTTGGTATGCTCTATGCCTAAGTTTAGAATCCATAAACCCTTTTGTAGGGAAGATTCAATGTCTTTTATTTGATTTTCAATTCCTCAATATTTTGTTTTGTGGCGTTTGTTTTCGTCACGTTATTGCATTCTCTGGACTTAGATGATGGATTTTACATGTTCACTGCAACTTCACTCTAAAGATTATATTAAATGTGGCGCATAAGATAGATCTACATATCATAAGTTGGATGATATATATTCTTTGTGCTGCTAACCATTTGACGAGCATTTTCGTTGTCTATGGCTGTAAGTGATTCCAGAAGAGACTACCTGTTCATGATTGTGTAGAATCTCCATATAAACATGTGAAATCTAATTTGAATGCAGATGATAGGAAAATAGGTCAACTGATTGATGTTAGCATCTCTTGTTGCACAAGAATGAGTTTTTTCATATTATCTTCAACAGAATATTTTATTAATCAAACTCCATGAGGAAACATCTAAGCATATTTGTTAAGTTAATAATCTTACCTACATGTTTAATTGTCTTTTTCCAGTGAGCCTTGCCAAATAAAAAGCTAATGAGAGTGTATAAGATAAAAAGTTTTGTTGGTCTTTTATCACTTGATAGGACAGTGGATTAAACAAATAAGGTTAGAGTGGACGACGTGCAAGTTATTTGATTAGTTTGATTTGAGCAATGGACAAAAGTACCACGTTATAGTGAAACAGTACCTATACATTCTGGCATTCTGCATTGGCGTATTTTGCATTTTTTTTTTTTTTTTCTAAATACATTTTACCCCAAGAAATTTGGTCGTAATTCATTCTTATTTCATAGTTAGTGTTTTATTTTTATTTTTCCTTTTTTATTTGAAACGTCTGAAATGATGATGGCAATGTGAATATGTAAAGCAGGCTTCCGGTTAGGTGGGACAAAACTACAATAGTGGTGATGAATGAAGTCCGTGTTGGGAGTCCTTATCAACCCGACTCAGTTGTTGGTGGAACTCCTGCTGCCAATGAACGGGTCCGGAAAGTGGTACGTTACATGTCAAACCATAATATTAAATATTATTATTTTATTTTTTGCACGTGTTGTCATTGATACTAGATTATCTTTTTCTCAGCTCGAGTTTGAGAAGAAGAGGCTGCAATCTCGGAATTTTGGTTAATTGACAATGAATTTCGCGCTTGATTAAAAAATGCAGTGAGTTTCTTTTGCATTTGAGCCCCGAGGCTGAGGGCACAAGGAGTTCTCGAACCTCCTGTGGACAAGTGAATCTCTATCCAATTGTGAGATATGAGGGCTTCTTTCGTAATAAAATGATGGATACTTATGTTTTTTGCATCTCTCTGAAGTGGTTATTTCATGATAAAATAAGGAAAACTAAAGTTTGCATGAGACCCAATAATGAAATTTTGCAATCAAAAATCTGTTGTAGTTGACTCTGTTATTTACATGTGAGATTTGGTTAATTTACAGGTCTCTCTCGACTGTAGTGGCATGAAAATAGTAGTTGGAAATAACTCGGTTATTCCGTTCTTGAAGACACTAACAACTGTTTGATTTTAAGAAAGCGTGTCACTACTATGTGAGAACCTTATACGCTTTTACACACAGTGCGAAGACAGGCAGGTTGAGAATCGTTTCGAAAACTTTATTTGAATGAAGTAGCTTTTAGACCTTCGGATATATCAAGACAGGCAGGTTGTCATGTGAAAGTTTGAGCTATATCTTCCTTGTAAGTAATTACATTAAGACATTTTGCTTTTGTTCTACAAATCATACTGAGTCGAAGAAGACAGGATAAACATGTTTGTCTCTATGTAAATCAAGTGTCCGTTAGGGGAACATTATATAATCCCAACTAGTTTAAATGCACACTTGAAGTTGAAAAGTGATATGTTATATCATACTAGCCTCTGGAGCTCGGATAGCTCAAAAGGAGCTCAGACGGTTAGACATGATTGAAAGCTCGGACATAGTTTGAACGGTTGTTGTATCGGGCCCTAATCTAAGGCAGAGTCTTCACAAATCAATCAGAATGGGGGACTATATAATATGGTACATCATATTAGCGTCTGGAGCTAAGATATATAATATGGTACATCATATTAGCGTCTGGAGCTAAGATAAGGTCGATCGGAGGGTTAGATATAGTTGGCAGCTCAGACAGAGCTTGGACAATATTGGCTTTGGGTAGCTCGCAATGAGGTTAGTGAGACAAGGAACAATGGCCGCAAGTTGAGTTATGACTCAAGGATAGTCCGACAGATACTCGACATGGAGCTGGAAAGTCCAGTTGACGACCCTTGGCGCAACAAGGCCAAACTAGTCAAGATAGCAGTAGTACTGCCGTGTGCCCTGGCACACCTAGCCAGGCATATTTTGCACGCGCCCCTCACTCCCCAAAACTAGAAAATTAAGAGAGTGTAGTCCACATTCCTCTTTTTCTTTTTTTTAATTGGAAAATCAGACATATTACATAAATTAAAATATCATTAATTATTTATATTAAAAAAATAAAATAAAAATACCAAAATTCATAATTTTTTATTATCTATAAATAGAGACCACATTTGATAGGTTTTTGAACACAATTAATTTTTCGTTTTTTCGTAATTATTTTATTATACTGACATATTATGAACATGTTACATAATAAGATGAATATGTTTTCAAATAAGATGAACATGTTACAGATAGCAGATTGAAAATAATACATATTCATCTTATTTTATAACATGTTCATCTTATGCTATAACATGTTCATTTTATTATGTGACATGCCCATCTTGTTCTATAACATATTCATTTTATTATGTATGTAACATGTTCAGCTTATTCTATAACATGTTCATTTTATTATGTAACATGTTCATCTTATTCTATAACATGTTCATTTTATTATATAACATGTTCATCTTATTCTATAACATGTTCATTTTATTATGTAACATGGTCATCTTATTCTATAACATGTTCATTTTATTATGTAACATGTTCATCTTATTCTATAACATGTTCATTTTATTATGTATGTAACATGTTCAGCTTATTCTATAACATGTTCATTTTATTATGTAACATGTTCATTTTATTATGTAACATGTTCATCTTATTTTAGAATATGTTCATCTAAATTTCATCTGTGAAAATGTAACATTTTCATCTTATTCTATGACATGTTCATCTTACTCTATAACATGTTCATCTTACTATGTAACATATTCATCTAATTATAGATTTGCGTCATAATCTTCCAATAAAATAAATTAATTGTAAAAAATGATAAATTAATTGTGTTCCAAAAAAATATCAAATGTGATCTCTATTTGTAGAGAATGAAAAATTATGAATTTTGATATTTTTATTTTTATTTTTTGATACAAAATATGAATGATAATTTAATTTATATAATATGATAAATGAAATTCATTACCCAATAAAAATGGGACACATGTCCCATTTAAAAAAAAACACTTACCTCCTTACCTCTCACGCGCCTTTAGAGGAAATATAATTTACACAAGGCCCTGGCACACCTAGCAAGGTGTGCCAGGGCACACCTAAACATTTGCCTCAAGATAAAGGCGATCGAGCTATTTAGCTCGATCAAGCATAGGATGACCACCTAAGAGAAGCATAATATATTGAACACAACAGATTGAACGCAATAGTGTGAACTTTACAAGGTAAGATCAATACTCGAACAACAAGATCAGACAGATCTTGGGCAACACAAGTACTTGGGCAACACAAGTACTTGGGCAACAAGATCACGCAAATCTTAAGCAACAAAGTAATGACTATGGCTGCAAACGAGCCGAGCCGAGTCGAGCATTAGCCTTAACGATCAAGATTGAATTTTTTTTTTTTGTTGCTCGAGCTCGATTTATGAGGCTCGAGCTCGACTCGATAAAAAAATACAAGAGCTCGAGCTCGACTCGAATTCAAAATGCTCGAGCTCGGCTCGAGTTCGGTTCAAATTTTTTCAATCAATTTTGTAAAATAACCATTAAATACATATATATATAAGGGTATTTTAATAATTTTACATATCTCGAGCCGCTCGACAATGTAAAATAGGGGCTCGAGCTCGACTCGAGTTCGTGCTCGAGCTGCTCGAACTCGACTCGAGTTCGGTCAAACTCGAGCTCCGAGACATTGCCCACTATAGTAATATTATGCTTTTGTTTAGTAGAGTGAATGATAAGAAAGGTGGTATATTGCAGATGAGATGAGATGCTCCTCACTCACTCATCACTTTAAGACTGAAAATTCCAAGTAAAGATAGATACTTGATGCTCTTCAAATAACAACAATTTTAATATTTAATAGTAAAAACTTTAATTTTATTTATTTTTCGGTCCCTTATTCCCTTTCAATTAAATTGCATGAGATGAGATGGATTATTCCTTTTGGAAAGTACGTGTTGCAGAGTAGTACGTACCATTTCGGTTTCTTTTTCTTCTGACCTTTCGTCTTTCTGCTGTGTAACTCACAGGCTACTTCCCGAGGACTCTTCATTTTCTCATTTTCTTGTTTCTCTCCTCATTCCCACCACAATTTTTTTTTTTTTTTTTT